GAGAAGAAATTTCATAAACTACGGAGAATATTTACTAAACTTCATTGTACTAAACAATTATTCAAGTTTTCACTAAATATAATGTGTGCAACACATAAAATTAAACAAACAACAAGTTATATCAACGTACACAATATATATTTACTTTAATAATGTGTCACTAGCGTTTCTTTATATTAATTCCATCATAATAATCAATATATAAAATTGTGTTATAAAATTGTTTTTACATTACTGTAAAATTATCTAATATTATATTTATGTATATCAAAATTAATATAATATGTATTTACTTTAAAAATATATAAATTAGAATGTAATATATCAAAATTTCTAATTATATTCTTACTTTTATTTAATTTTAATAAAATTTGGTAAACAATGAAGGTGTAATAGATGTATAATTTAATAATTTGACGTATAAAATGTCACAAATTATATACCCGTGAGACTACAAATATAACATTCAACTTAATTTATATTATATTGAAACCATGTGTGAATACTTCTAACAATATTCAGCCGACTCCGAGTGGTTGTTCATCGTGTGTTTCGTCAAGAATGCCTCGCTGTCTCTTTTATCTTTGCTCATTCGTGTTTATGCAGTAGCAATTTTGCATCATGTTCGTCAAGTGACAGAGACATATACTGCCTACGTGGTAAGTACAATTTGCATTTATTTGAAGGTTACATCCAATTCGAGCACCTCTACCTAGCTCGATTCTGCTCTGCCACAGCTAGCTTAACCCCACCTCTTCCTCAGTAGCAGCAGAGAGGTCAAAAAGCATTCACGTTATAAAACCACAATGGTAAATCAAATATGACGTACTTGCAGCATAAGGTAATTAATGTTAAATGTGAATATATTTAAATTATATACTAACTACTTATTTTTAAAAAGTTTCAACTTTATCCTGCTGTAATGATGTCACGTATGATATTATAGTTAATTTTAATATAAGTGAATATTTAATAATAATTAATAATTATGAACGAATTGAACAACGATATTTTTCTATCTTTATAATTTTCGGAGGCATCCGTGATAATAAAATTTTTGAATTTCTATCTTTATAATAATTATTATTTAAAATATAGTATCCGGAAGTAAATAATAAAATTCAAAATTAGTTGATAATTGCAAAAAAAAAACACTTTTTCTCAGCAAATTTATTTATACTAAAATGATATTTTCAGAAATGGTTGTTACTTCATTTCATGCGACATGTAATTACATTAATGAATATTTAAAGGGATAGCTTTGATAGATCTTAATTAACTTCAATATTAATATATCTCTGATAAAAAGTTCTTGTCATTTAAATTAATTTAAAAAAATTATACATTAATTATAATTTGTTTATTTCTTTTAAAAAATTAGTGAGTTATTTCTATATCTTTTTTCCTAATAACAAAAATCAGGTTTTATGGTTGAAATTTGTACAAATTAATTTTTAAAAACTGAAAACAATTTGAATCCAACTTTAGGCCAAATTGTAACACCAAATAATGCAAAATGGACGAATGATAATTGACAAATCAAGTTATTGGTTTCATCTTTCATTTAAATGAACGTAACATGTTAGTTTCACTTCACAGCACATCTCTAAATCAAAATTACAGTTTCCAATACATTGTAAAAGAGAAGCATATCCACGGCTTAGAAAACATTGTCTTGATGCAAGTGAATCATATCGTCAATCCCTACGTGGAGCCCTCAGAAAGGCAAACAAGAAGAATAATGAATGGGCCTTACTCTGTCTGGTAATAACCCATTACAAGTCATGGGGATGATTTTAAAGTGGGGAACAGCCAAATAGTTGCTTAAAAATAATGGGGCATGGCATGCTCAAACCTTCTGGCTATGAGACTAGTAGTTCGTTTTGGTCCTGCCCTTTTCCAATCAACAGGGGTCCCATCCCTTAACAGTAGTCAATTATACAAGCAGAATTATGCTAGTCCTTTTTTTGGTGCTTTACCACCAGAGCAGTGTAGAACTGAAGTATCTGTTTCGCTTCAAATAAATTTGACTAATCCACCTAACTAAAATGAGATAATAATAAATAGTGGATAAGTATTATATTTTTTGGATAAAAATAGATAAATTAGGTCAGTAATGGGTAAAAAATTAAAAAATTGTCGGTACCTAAAACCGACCGAATAGACATCTATACGTGAATCTGTTATTGAATTTATTAAATATACATTAATTTGAGCCAGCCCAATTTCAGGTAAATTTATTATAATATTGTAAATTAAAAAATAATTTATTATTTTATAGCAAATCTGAAATAATTTCTCAATTTGTGATTTTTTTGTCACGTGGATCAATTTTGCGCCATACGACTGGCAAAAGTAATTAATTTTTGAATTTTTTAATATCTATTTTGCCATAAAAAATACGAAATATGACGTCTTAGAGCAGTTAGTTTAAAACCACTCTCATAACTATATTTTAGAAAGCGGTTCCTTATGAACCGCTCTCATAACTCTATTTTACAGAGCAGTTAACCGCTCTCAGTAGTAATTTTAGAGAGTGATTCCTTATGAACCGCTCTAAAATTTCAATATTAGAGAGCGATTCCATTTCAACCGCTCTCAAAAGTCATGTTAGTCATGTTAATTTTGATGGATCTTCTGGCCTGAGATTAATAACCCTACTTTGTTGTGAAGATGATGTCATCTATACAACAATAAAAAATATTAGTAAAAAAAATTCATTCAATAATAATAATAATTTATATTTTACTAACATATTAATAATATATATTTTATAAAGGTCAAACAAATTTTCTAACAAATCATTATCACATTGTAATGATATCATATTATATTCATTACAATATATTATAAATGCAAAAATCAGGTGTATATAAACAAAATTAAATAAATAAATTCTTTTTAACAATATAGAACGTAAGGAAAGAAACAGTATTTTAACAATAATTTTTATTAAAATTTTTTAAAGCCTGACATAATGCTTAACCGACCGATTTAGTGAGTTCTCCGATATATCCGAATCTAAATTAACCGATAAAAAATTGGATAAAATTAGATATTTTTTTAAACAATTCAGTTAAATATAATTAACTACTTTTAGATCCGAACTCACCCAAAACCCACCGATGATCACTCCTATCAATTACCACCTCCTATTTTCTCTCGTGACTAGGCAAAACCAATTTTGCACCAGAATATGGTAGACTGCATGCCAATTGTTCTATGTGAAACATACTATCTTGGTGCCAAAATGAGTTAGCTAGGTTACCTGCACTAATTCGATTGATTCCTTTAAATATAAGATTTAAATTTTAATTATTTTAATTTGATTCATTTGAATTTTTCTTTAATCCAGTTTGAATTAATTTGATTATTTAAATATAAAATAAAAATTTAATTTAAATTTCAACTTTTATTTCATAATTCAAATAAAAATACGCTTCGTTTAAAATAATTCAATCAAACTCAAAACTCAAAACCAAAACTTACCTTTTTTAAACTTGCAACCATTTTGATTTTTGACACAATGGCATAGAGTAACGGCAATCAAATATTACTTGCATATAAGTTTTTTGGATCGATATTAAATTAAAGGTATAAGAGTTGTAATGAAAATAATGTGAGTTATTATGTCAGGAAAAAAAGAAGAGAAATTTCGTGTATGATGCTCGCATTAACCGTGCATATTCTAGATGAAATGAAAAGAGGTCGTTTCAAATGTCATAAATGTCGTTTCATTAGTTAAGACCGGAGCAATCTGTCGGATCACTTTTACTTCATCACCTAACCATAATATTTCTTAAACTATAGAAAAAATAATATATGACCAGATATTTATAAGCAATTTTGTGTAGGACAAGAGAAGGTGGGGTACGTGGTTTCTCATGATAGGAAATATGATTTACTTTGTTCGACCATGCAATCCCCAGCGGACATATATTAATTCGAAATCTATATATCTATCTAGTCAGTCAAACACCTAGCCTGTTGCACACAACAGTTTCCCTGATAATTAAGTATCTTATATTAAAAACTTGTATATATATAGCTAGCAAATTTCGGTTTTGTTAAGTCTTCTATCAACGAAGCAACATATTAGAAGAGGCATATATCTATCCATATTTGCAGAGAGAGAGAGAGAGAGAGAGAGAGAGGGAGGGAGGAAGAGGAGTTCTGAGACACACTTTACAGAAGGAATTCCCGCGGCAGTGTGGGCTTAATGTAAAATCTTAAAACTGGAGTTGTATTTCAGAAGGGGGGGAAGGCGTGTTTGTTTCTCACGAAGGGACAAAATATTAAAGGGTTTAAAGGCTAAATCAGGTAATGAAGAGGTGCTCTTGCGTCCTATTTAAACTATGGGTCTTATATTCTCTCCAGTTTTGTATAGCCTGTAGCAATATCTGCCCCTTTACATTTAAAGCTGTCTTTTTATTTAATGACCGATGCAGAGAAATAATGATGATTGCATCTTCTCTTATGAACCCCAATGACCAACTGAACAACCCCTTGTCCTTTCAAATTCAAGGAACTGTGGTATATATATTTATGCTCTTTGTTTCACTTTCATTGACAGCTTCTAGCGTCTCTGCTGCCGCTAGGTAAGTCAGATGTACATTTAATGATTTATGTAGATTTTCCAGGTGGTGTAGTGAGGTGAGCCTCATCCATGCCATTAAAGAGATCATAGTGCTGAGTGGCTTTTGAGGCTACAATCTGTCTGTCTGTATCTTTTCAGTGTCAAGAGAAAAAACCTGTTTTTGGGTCAGAGAGATGAAGGGATAAGTGTTTTCAGGTGTCCATAAAAGGCTCTTTTTTTCGCCCCTATTACTATATATTAGGGAGATATAGTATTAATTTAATATAGAGTTGGGATTTCTTCACTTCTTATACAGTTTCTAGCTGCTTTGGGTTTGTTAAGTATACCCTTCTCTCCGACTAACTAATCTACTGTTTATTTCTTTCTTCTCTTTTCTTTCCTCTTTCTTCTAGGTCTCGTAAGGATGGAGCCACCTCATGCCATGTTGGGAGGTGCAGAGGAATGCCACAGCAGTGAATCTGGATGGACCATGTACATTGGGTCCCCCGTAGATGAGCATGCTAATTCTGATTATAAAGAGAATGATGAGAACCTGGATTATGATTATGATTATGATTATGAAGGCACTCATGCTGATCCTGATGTTGAAAGTGACGATTCAATGGCTTCTGATGCTTCTTCTGGACCAAGTTATTATGGAATAATTAATCCATTAGGGAATGACTATGATGGCTTCACACATTTTCAGCAAAAGGAGGAAGAGAAGGCAAAGTATTGCTCAGATCACAAGAGAGCTACAAGTAAAAAAAGTGAAAATCGACTAGTGGATAAAAGAGTGGAAAAGAATGAGATGGTTTTCATCAATGGCAAAGGTAAAGCTCAGGAAGTTCAGAACGGTGGCAACGTCAAGGCGAGAAAAACTCTTAGGGTGGGAACCAAAAAATAATAAAAAGAGATATGTTTCCGCGCCCAGCAGCTTTAGCTTATTTTCCTAGGTTTAAGTATTTTTTGTGACGAATTATTGCATGTGTATGTGTTTTCTTTTCCAAGTCATTTATAATGTTGAGATTTGAATCAAGAAAATGTCAAGACCAGATTAATTACCTGTAGCGTGCATGGATTAGTGGGTATGTATGCAAATCTGGTTAATTAATTTTCTTAATATCTTGGTTTTCATCTCTTTTTTCATATGTAGTATAGTGTGTACGTAAGACAAAAGATGGACACTAGGTTTCTATGGGTATGAAGAGATTGAAATTTGAGTGAAATTAATTACTATTCAATAGTTGTAATATTTATGTTTAGGCCTTTTTATCCGGCACCTTAAAACAAGGGCATTGCATGGAATGTGATCGAGCACTGAATATCCATCGAAACTCGGTTAGTTGAGTCAATAAATTAAGCTCTTGATGTACGGAGAAATGAAAACTTCTAAATATACTTTCTTGATTTTTATGGAAAGAGTGTTTAGTACGTGTGAAGTAAAAGCAAAAGAGAAGATCTTAATCCTTGATTAAAGAAATCAAGATAATTGACTGATACAAATTTATAATTTGTTAGGAATTCATTGCGTAGGCAGCATGCATGGTGCATCTAACTAACTAATCAATCATGATTCTTGCATTTCAAATTAAGTTAATTAGGAATTCATTATGGTCATGGATGCATGGTGTGTTTATTAACTTACTAATCCTTCATGATTCTTGTATGCGTGGGTACTATCAATGTTTACATTTAAGCTTATGTAGGAAGGACACATCATTTTTCCATGTTAAAAAAACGTATGTATTAACAGCAAAAGTAGTGGAAAATAATTGTAAAAACCAATGAAAATCTTATTCTATCCAATTAAGGTTCTGGAGAAAGTTCTAATTCACGAGATCTGGTAATATAGATTTTGTTGATTGTATAGCAAGACGTACAACTAGCTATAGAATTACATTTCAGTTTAGTTTAACTTTAGAGAAAAGTCACCTATTTTAAAAGAAAAAGTATACGTTGGTAATTTCTTTTAATAAATATAAAGTTTGAACTCAATATCTTAAGTAAAGTCAAACGTACAAGGAGTAGTCATAAGCTTTAAGCACTCAATTAATGTTATATATGCCCACAGGTTTATAACAATTTTTTATATTCATAACCTATATGTTTAAAGTTTGTTCTAGACATAAGATTTTATCTGAACAGTGATGATCGTTCCATTTTGACAATATTTTTACTCCAGATAATATTAATATATTACTTCAATATCCATGGCTTTTGTTTCGAATACCTCGCGACCTTAAGAAAATAAATATTACAAAATATAGAGATTTAATTTCAGTTTAGGTAAGTTTAATTTCAGATATATATATATATATATATATATATATATATATTAAGAAATTAATATAAAAAATTAATAATTTTTTCTCATAAATTAAAAGTATAACTTATACTTCTTAAATTTTATGAAAGTTAGACAGGAGATGTTTTAAACCGAGAAAATAATTTTAACTTATGATAAAAATTTAATATATTTGACCATTTAATTCTTTATACTTGTAAGTACTTACTAATACATTTATCCAAATTGATCTTTATAGATTCTTTTATTACATATACAAATTATCTTAAAAGCCACAATTAGATAATTAAACATTTAGATAAATTTATTAATAAATAATTATAAGAGTAAAAAGTTTAGTAAAATAAATAAAAAATATAAGAATTAGAATGAGACGACAACAACTCCACAGCATATAGTAATTCCACCTGAAATTATGATAATAGAAGCAAAATCAGGAATTAGGAGGAAGAATGAGAAAAAGATGACGTAGAAAGAAAATAGAATCATAGAAAAAAGTTCATACTAACAAACACTCTCTTTGCAGTTTTGCGGGCTTCTTCTCATTGCCACCACTTGCGAATCACCTTCCACGTGTCCTCTGGACTAATAGCATTTCTTGCGTTTCTTTCTCTCTTCATTTTACTCGTTACAGAAGATTATATGAACAATTTACGAAAAACTGTTTGTGACTTTCCTAAGCTATTTTTAATTTATTTAAATTATTATTAAACACATGAATTAATCAATAAAAATTGTTTAATTTTAGTATGTAATACCGAGTTCGAGTTTCAGTAAATACATTTATATTAATATATTCAAAAGAAAAATTATATCACTCATAATAATCTTACGTGATTTGAACAAGATTATTTCTAATAAAAAATATACCGTGATAAAAAAAAATCTTAAATCTTATAAAGGAAAAGGATTGAGTAAATCTTAATTAATGTGATATTTAAAGACGAAGATGAACTTTCTGTACCCCTATGCTTTATTTACATGCCAGTACTGGAGTTTTGTTGGAATTAATATAGATATAAAACTTGACGAAATCTATGCTATGCACTGTGTAGGACATCACATGTGAATGAACTCCTTAGCAGTTAGGTTCCAGCTTGAATATATTGGGTAGTGCGTTACATTCGAAATATGGAGGGACAAATTATTGACATGCTTTGAAGACAAGAGTTGCTTTCCATTTGGAAGCTCCTGCAGGTAGATAACAAATGTATCCGCATATAACCAGCCATATACGTAATATTATATATTCATTAGCTTGACCGTTTAGATGCAAACGTCAATACAGAATAAACCGAAACAACATAAAATAAAATAATAACGATGATGCAATGAAATCATTCTTTGTTTAAAAAATTAAACTTCATCTACCTCTTTTACTAATTAATTTGGACTTGCAAAGGTAATATATTGTTGATAACCAAATAAAATACCACGAGAAAAACGGAAACCAATAGAAATAGAACTTGTTAAATAATCTGAAATAAAATATTTAAAAAATGAATGAGAGAGATATGAGATCAGGCATTGAGGCAAAAGCCTCAGTTATTGAGCACTCGTGATATTAACGCTGCAAGCGAAGACGTCAAGGTAAAACTGTAAAATAGGTTACTTCTAATTCATATGGGTTACAACCAAAAATTCAATTTATATAATATTAAATATTTATAATGATTATTGTTATTAAATAATAATAATAATAAAATTATTTAGTATCAAATTACTTTACATGTTTTTTAAATATTTATTCGTATTATTGATAATCATTAAATAACTGCAATAAATTTTTATATAATTTTATAAATAAATTTTTAAAATATTATTTTTCTTTCTTTTTTTATAAACTTATTAAAAATATAAAATATTTTAGTTTTCTTTTATGTGAGGATCATATTTTATCTGTGTAGAGATATGTAATGTTCAATAAATAAAGTCACAATAAACACATAAAATTGACAACAAAAAATAATAATGAAATTTATTGAGTTACCTAACTGAGAATTGATATATTAAATGTCAGGCTTGTATTATATATATATATATATATATATATATATATATATATTTTAAAGATAATGTTGTAAACATTTAAACTATGATGCCTCTATGTATTGAATGCGATGTTGTATGTTGATAATGGTATAAAATAGCGTGAAATTATGCATGTGTGAGTTATATAGTTGTTGAGTATAGAGCTAATGCAAGTTGTGTGGATTGAATATGTTTAATTGGTGTAAACTACAGGATGTCTTGCAGTAATGAGATATCTCTCGCTGTAGCGAGACAAGTTATCCGTAAATAGACTATCTGGAGCGCTCTCGCTGCAGCAAGAAGTAGATAAGATTGACCCAACTAACACTCTCACTAGAGCGAGACAGATTCTTGCTGCAATGAAAATGACAGATAGCAGAAATGATATATTATTTGGTATATCTCGCTATAGAGAAAGTCGCATGTTTGAGGGTATTTAAGGGGATTTTGAGCTTAAAACTTTCATTTCCCACCAAACCAACTTTCCCTCTCATTTTCTCTCTGTTCTCTCACCCTCTCTTCTTAAAGAAAACCTTTTCAAAATTGAACTTCTTCATGATCCAAGTGGGAACCTCCATTTAGTGCAGATCTAGGTAAACTCCTGGGATCCTGTTCTCCAACTCTACTTCTTACTTCTTGGGTTTCTCTTTTCAAAGGTTTCTCTTTTCTAATAGTGAGCAGATCTAAGCCCTCGAGCATTGCTTCTTTCTTTGGAACTCACGTGGAGTTCAATCTGAGGAAACCCTTCCAGGTAAGAGGAGCTTACCTGAGCTGGCCTTATTCACTTACTAGATGCTGAGATATTTATATGTATAATTTTGTTCTAGTTAAGAATACGTTAGTGCATGAACAAACCTCGGAGTAGACTCAAGAGTAAGTATGGCTGAGTGGACTGACTGTCATTGGTAGATGTAATGAGTCGATGTGTGTGATGGAGTTTTCTATTGTTCTATGTATCATATGAAATTGTTATGTTTGAGATAATTGTTGAAATGTTGTTGTATAATGTGCTGAGACTGGTTGATAAGTACTGTGAAATAATGTGTTGAAATGCTTAAGATATGACTGTGTTGTATCTGTAACGCCACAAATTTTGTTAATAATATTTTAATGTATTAATAAATGTATAAATTGATGTTTGAATGTGCATTTAATTGTGTAATGATTTGAATATAACTATGGTTATGAAGATGTATGAATATGTGGTTAAAATGTGTGTGGACTTGTACTTGAGCATGATTGTTGATGGTTGACTTGTGTTTGGGCTGGAGTTGTTTGAGTATATAGGCTAAGTGTGTGCTACAGGTGTGTTCTCGCTATAGCGAGAAGGCCCTGGGCGAAGAGCATAAAACTATGTCATTTTCGCTGTAGCAAGAAGGCATTGGAGAAGGGAGTGAAACTGTTGCGTTCTCGCTATAGCAAGGGTTCGGGAGCGCGACAATGGAAGGTGCATTTTTAGGTGTAGTCTCGCTGTAATGAGATTCTACAGAAATCAAAGTGCAATTTCTTCTGAGATTTTTACTGTAGCGAGAGAGGGTGTTGCTACAGTGAGGTCCCTTCGCTGCATT